CTTTACCGACACAAGTCCTTACTTAATAAAACTGGTTTATTCTTTCCGAATACAACTTTACGATACACTTATTTTCAACAGTCGCGCTATAACAAACGCTATATCTCACGTGGCCAACAATATTTTGTCCGCATACATTCAATTACTCATTACACTGATCCCGTCACGTTGTGACCATCTTATATATACCAGACTAACACATATCTAGTAAATGCTAGGGCATTCACGAAGGAACAGGATATTTCTAGAAAACGGGTGGCGTGATACTAGTCACGTGACCTCGCTGACGCAACACTATGGATAATACATTTATTAGTTAATTTGCCACCTTAAACGATTCTAGTTCCTTTGCCAACTGCAAAGCTTCATTTAAGGTTGTACATCTACTTTGCTTCAGCCTGAACCTCATATCCTTGTCTGCTATGACATGTACAAATTGGTCACATGCCTATGCCTCTATCATTTCACAAGGAGTATCTGAGAAAGATAATTGGACAAGACTTTTCACATCTCCTGCAAGTTCGGCTAAGGTCTTTTTCCCCCTCTGCACCATATTCTAGATAATCACTCTGGAAACTTCTTTTTTGTTGTAACAGTCCAAACTTATTGGATAAAGTGCCCACCAATATTTGGTAGCTGTTATGATTCTGAGCTAGAAGGTTACTTAATGTTATCAAAGCTAGTCCTTTTAGATGAGCAGCAAGATCAATTGTTTCTTGTTCATGATTCTACCCATTCACTCTGGAAATGATTTTAACCTGAGCTTGGAATGACTCCCATGGCACTTTCATATCATAGTCCATTAGCTGATGCTGACCTAGCCAACTTCGTTCTGGAACTGGATTTTATATTTTATTGGTTGGAATAGTCCATAAAAGTCCTTCAATAACAAGTCATACAGCAGTAGTGTTATTAGCTATAGATCAAATAAGTTCTCCTATTCCACATTTCGTAGCAGATAACGTTCCTGGCTGGAACTCCCGAGCCTATGCAGAAAGAGGTGTGGCTGGTTTACTATTTGCATTTAATAATTCGTTTTTCCAGATGTTTCATTCTATCACTAATGTTCTCTTCTACTTCAATGATGCTTTTTCTACTTCATTGATGTTTTTCTTTACTTCACGTTTGACTTTGTAAATTTTGTCATTACAGCCTTTCCATGTTTCTTCAAACTTATCATTGTAATTACTCTGTATGCCCACAATGGCTGCTTTAATAAGATTTATTTTCGAGGTTAGTTCCTCTTTAAATAGTACGTCTCTTTCTTTAACTCCTTTCTTAAATTCCTGACACGTTCTTTCTTGTCTTCATTTCATTTTCTATTTCTTTCTTCTTGAAATTTTCTGTCTTGTTCTTTTAATGTTAAGTCCCCTTCTTCTGATCTTGTCTTAATAATTTCATCATCTCAAGTACTGCTTCGCTCTCTCTATTTGATCTCGTAGTCGTAATTTTCAATAGTTAAAATTTAGTAAAAATTCTATATTATTTTCACCAAAATAATATCCTACTTCTGACATCAGTTTTGTATCATTGTTATTTTGTTGGCAAGTTCTCTAAATTATTTGGTGATAATAATTCAACATCCAGTCCATGTACTAGTCATAAATTAGTTAACTTCCTTCTTTAACGTTTCTAAAATCTTGGATACTTGTACATTGTCATAACTTGTAGACCTATTTGTACAATGTAATTCAATAAGCGCGATAGCAAACACATTTCCAAATATTTCACAAAAATACACAGACTGATTCAACTTCTTATCTTGAAATAACTCTATCTATATCCTTGACTATCTTTCACCTCACTCTACTCTTGAAATAAATATATCTTGTTTATAATCTAGCTTCGAATATATTAGAACACTGGACACTAAACCTTTAGAACTTTCTAAGTGTTCTAGGCCTATCTTAACATCGTGCGCTCTCTAGCCAACATACAAATTACAACATTAAGAACATAGCTTACAACTTATTATTATTATTACTTGAATTAATTTTACCATCATTCAGAAGAAGAGGCATGCTAGTTTTCTTGTTCTTGGAGTATGTCAAACAACCACAGCGTCTAAGAACTTATAAGTGACAGCAAAAATAATAAATAACTAGAGGGGCACTCAGTAGAGCGCATACCTCTGCCACACAGAGCTTTTCTTAAAGATTTGTTTTCAACTGCACAGTATTTTAACTTCATCATTTTTAATACATGACGTCTTATTGCACCTCATGTATACAGGCCTAGTAACGAATGATCCAAAAAATGAAGAATATTCTAGCAGATATATTTGCTTATCAATTCTGGAATGGAATTTTATCATTTTAAATATGTTTTTTTAAATATTTATCCACTTGAACTTACTTACATAGGTGAGTTTTCAATCACACAAATATTTTTACAGGTGCACAATTTGCGATCAACTGCTCACTAGGAAACCACTGTGTCCGTATGTCTATTGTTATCAACAGATACGGACCATTTTTACAGGTGCACAATTTGCGATCAACTGCTCACTAGGAAACTACTGTGTCCGTATGTCTATTGTTATCAACAGATACGGACCATTTTTGTTAGGACAATGAGGAATAATATTCTACATATTTCCATAACTTTAATCAAAATCTGATAATTTTTGACTGAGTTACAGAGCAAAAATAGTGTGAAAAATCAGTCCTCATGTTAACAGATAGGTATTGTTACGACAGCGGAAGTCACGCGACGCTGGGAGCATGCGCGCTAGAGTTTCTAGAAGGATTGTGACTTATCGGGCAACCTCACGAATGTCTCAGCGTTTGCTAGACGCCCTCTTTTTTAGATATAAGCCGGAGATAGATTGAAGAGAAATAATTGATAATTGAGTCAAGCGAACAGTAGGCAACCGTAAGTAAAGTGTAT